GGGAGGAGAGGGGAAGGGAGGGGAGGAGACTGGAGAGGAGAGGAGAGGATAGAAGACAAGAGAATAAAAGAGAAGAGAAGGACTAAAGTTTACCTTTATCACTTCAGATTTTGGGGCAGACATCTTCTTCCATTCTGGAAAGAGGCCAGATTTATCCAGAGAGTCTCTCCTGGAGGTAGATACAGAAGTTATAACAAAATCACCTCCTCCCCTTCCCGTTCTATCTATTGACCCAAGCTCTATGGAAGGAGCGCCACTGGCTTGGGGTCATTGTAGTAACCAAATCTAGAAGGTAAATGTCACATCAGATTTACCTTGAAGGAGTACAGATGATCTGATAAGCAACTGTGCACAAACACAAACACTCATGCCCTCATTTCTACAGGACAGCAGCACCAGTGGCTGCTGGTCCAGGAAGAATCCTCCAAGGCATAGCAGCAGCCTGTGGAAGTTCGCATGCTCCAGAAGGCTGTGCTCAAAGCCAACACCAGAAGTGCTACTAAAAGACTGGTGGCAAGGTCAGACAAAAAAATAAAAAAGACTTCATGCGACTTGCTGAAGAGAGAAGTTGGGTACACTGAAGGCATAGAAGAAGCCCTGCATCCTGATGCTAGAGAATAAAATAGGAACTCAGGTTGAGCAGAGGTGCAGGGACTGGGGCGGGGGGATCTCACCTGGACGTGCTATCCGAGTCAGCTGTGTAGCTATCCAGACTCTCACGCTCAGCCTCCAGTGCATTCTTGCCATTTTTCAGCTTGGGCACTTCCAATGGCACACTAGAGTAAAACCCAAGAGCCAAGGTATAAAGGAAGTGGGCTCTGCTGCTGGGAGTCAGGCTTCCTTCCAACCCATTTACAATGGCAGCCTAAGGAATCTTTCTAAGATAAATATATGCTTAGAATATACTTTGAAAACTGTTCAGCGGTTCCCCGTTGCTGTTGGGATTGAGTTCAGACTCCTCAGCATGTCAAGAAAACGCTTATGACTTGACCCTTGCTCACCTCTCCAGACTCATCTCTCATTCTCGACCTTTCCTTCTACTTTACATTCCAGAATGATGAAGTTCTTTTGGCTCCTTGAATACAACAAAGCCTTCCCTCTTCCCTCTTTTCTCTACTTGGGATGTTCTTTTCACAATGGTCATTTTTCTTCATCTGTCAAATCTACTCCTTCTTCACATTTCTCCTTATATGTCTATCCCTCCAGATCTCTCTGACCATACTCCCACTCCAAGTCTGGATTAGTAACCTTCCTATGTGCTCTTAAAGCACCCTGATTTCTTGGTAGCAGTCATCACATATATAATTATTTGCTTATGTCTTTTAAAGAAATGATTTACTTTGCTGAATAATTTAAATAAATGATTTGTTTAATGTGTTTCTCCATTAGACTGAGTTCCATGAGGTCAGTGACCACATGTCTTGTTCACTGCTGTGTTCCCAACGCCTAGAAGAGAAATAGCATAGAGTGGGCACTCAAATATTTGGTGACTGAACTCTTGACTAAATGCTCTCTTGGTGGGGCTTAAACTATATATATGTGTGTATGTGTGTGTGTGTGTGTGTATACGTGTGTGTGTGTGTAAACAAACAGTATGTTTTGAAGACAGTATTCAGAAGACCAGAATTCTTTTTCAGCTTCATAAAGGATAACCTCAGGAATTAAAAAAAGCAGCCCTAATCTTTAAAGGAAAGGACACAATTCCTGGGCCCCTTACCTCAAGGAATTTGTGAGAGCAGCAAGAAGAGGAAAAAGCCAGTCTTCCTCAAGTACCTTAAGTAATTTCAATTGGCTTCCAGGACACCAAACTTTCCTGGTCCCTCTGACCTCACGTCTGCTCCTTCTTGGTCTCCATTACTGGTCCTTCCTAATCTGCTAGACCTCTAATCTTTGGATTGTGTCCAGGCTTATTCCTTGGACTGTTTCTCTTTACTACCTAGAATTATTCCTAAATGATCTTATCTAGTCTCATGGCTTTACATATTCTCTATAAACTAATAACTCCTAAATTTATCTCTTAACTCAAATGCCAGACTTATATTTCCAAGAGCCTACTTGACATCCCTGCTTGGATGGCTCAAACACAGCAAATCCAAAACCAAAGACCTAATCCTCCCCCAGACCTGCTCTTCCCTGAATTTCATCAAATGGCAATTCCCTCCTTTCATTTCTCAGGTCAAAAATCTTAAGAATCATTCCTGACTCCCCTCATTCTCTCACAATACAAATCCAACCTGTGAGCAAATCTCCTTGGCTTTATCTTCAATGTATGTCTAGAATCTGACCAGTTCTCACCCACTCCCACTGCTGTTACTCTGGTCCAAATCACCATCATCTGGCTCCTGGATAGTTGTAATAGCCTTCTAATTAAACTCCCTACTTCTGCTCTTGTCCCCAGTCTGTCTTCAAAACAACAGCCAAATTGAGCTTTTAAAATACAAATCCAATATAGAATTACCATATGACCCAGCAATCCCACCCCTAGGTACATAGGCAAGAGAACTGAAAACATATGTCTACACAAAAACGTGTACACAAATGTTCATAGCAGCAGTATTCACAATAGTCAACAGGTGGAAAAAAACCAAATACCAGCAATGGATGAATGAATAAACGGAATGTGGTCTATGCATACAATGACATATTATTGATAATGAAAAGGGATGACGTTCTGATACATGCTACAACATAGATGAACCTTGAAAACATTATGCTAAGTGACATAAGCCAGACACAAATGGCCACATTTTGTATGGCTCCATTTATATGAAATATCCAGGATAGGCAAATCCGAAGACACAGAAAGCAGATGAGGGGCTGGGAGAAATGGGGAGTGACTGTCTAATGGATACAGGGATTCTTTTTAGAGTGATGAGAATATTCTGAAATTAGATAGTAATGGTTGCACAACATTCTGAAAGTACTCAAAGCCACTGAACACTTTAAAAGTGTTAAAATGATGAATTTATATGATGTGCATTTTACCTCAATTTAAAAAAGAAAGAATAATATCATGTCATTCAGAGCCCTCCTTCTCACTTGGAGTAAAAGTCAGAGTCCTTGCAAGTGCCCACAAAGTCTTACGTGATCTGCTTTTCACCCCATCTCTGTCTTCATCTCCTCCCACTCCTCCCTTGCTCACTCACTTCCAGGTTACTCCAACATGCCAAACACAAACTCACCTTGGGATTTCTATATCTGCCACTTTCTCTGCCTTGAACACTTTCCCCCAGATTCACTCAGGGTTTGCTCCCTCATTTGCTTCATGTCTTTGCTCAAATGTCACCTTATTATTAAGACTTTTCCCTGGCTATCCTAAATAAAACAGCATATGGACACACATGCTTTCCTGGCACACCCTATCCCTTTAGTCTACTTCATTTTCTCCATAACACTTGTCAACATCTGATATACAATATATTGACTTATTATTTATTGTCTGTGTCCCCCAACCTCAAATTTAATCTCCCCGAGCAAGGGACTTTGTTGTATTCACCAGTCTGTCCCAAAACAGTGCCGGGCAAATAGTAGGCATTCACAGATATTTGTTAACTAATGAACAAATTAAGAAACGAAGAAAGACTGAAGTAACGAATATCTATGATGTCTTAGGCAGTAATAAAGAATAAACTTTCTAAGCTATCAGATGATGTTTGAGAGAGCTCTGAAAACCGACCGTAGGGTTTGACATCCTAGGACATGCAAGAGGTGAAACAGAGGTCATTTCTTAAGAGATGTATTAGCTTTACAGTTCAAGACACAGCAGGGAGCTTGATATCACTTTTGCTTCAGAATCACTTCCCCCCTTTGCTTCAAAGAATAAAGAACCCAAAGTGGAACCATTCCTCTAGAGAGCTAGTTTAACAATGGTCCATGGAGAGTGTTTTCTGCTTGTATTTTTTCCCTAAACATTAATACATACAGATCCAGAGCTGATACAATCAACCCTAGGGTAAAAAAGCAATTATTTGACATCTGTGCAGTAAAAAATAAACTAAGAGATGGGAGTCCTGGGCTCTAACTATCTGTATTATCTCAGGTAAATCACTTATCCTGCCTTCTTTTCTATAAAAATAAGGGGGTTGAATTAAATTATCTCTGAGGCTCCATAATTTTATGGAGGAGATCATTTATGGCCACTTAGTCTGTTTTCATGTTTAGGATAAATAAGAGGTTTCTGGGTCCAATGAGACAAGAGGTCATAAAGAGCCAGAAGCAGTAGGTTTCAGAAATTACATTCTGACTGATGATGTCAGATGTGTTAATTAGGTTCAGGACATAAAAATCATTCTTATCCTTATCCACAAAGGAAAAAGGGGGCCTCATCACCTAGCACATATGAATCACCCACCCAAGGCTGTGTGGGTAAAATCACAGTACAGTAAGTCCTCACTTCACATCATCCATAGGTTCTTGGAAACTGACTTTTAAGTGAAACGATGCATAATAAAACCAATTTACCACAGGCTAACTGATATAAACAAAAGTTAAGTTCCTATGGCATATTTTCGTCACAAAACACCACCAAACTTCTAAATAAAGACCCAAAACACTTCTAATATTAAACATTGAAATACATAGGAGCTATACATACACTTAAGAAAGATTAATAAAAATAAGTAAAATCATTATTTTCCAATCTGCTTTTTCCAGTTCAGGACAGCAGGTGGCTGGAGCCTCTCCCAGCAGCTCAGGGTGCAAGGCGGGACCCACCCTGGATGGGATGCTCTTCCATTGAAGGCACACTCATACACACACCCACACACACCCACACTGGGACCACTTAGACATGCCAATTCACCTCCACAGGATTGGGATGTGGGAGGAACCAGAGGGCCCAGAGAAAACCCACGCAGCCATGGGGAGAACATGCAAACGCCACACAGTGGCCCCGGCCGGGAATCAATTTTTTTTCTCATCAATATTATAACGAAATGATGTTGAAGGAAACAAAGTCATTCAAGGACCTGCTGTACATACATACAATGAAACCCCTTACAGAGAGCAAAAAGAATGAGGTAGACCATTAGTGCTGACATGGAAAATATCAAAGTTATATTGTTCTATGATTTTTTTTTACAGCTTGAGTTATAACTGACATAAACTGCATGTTTAAGTGTGCAATTTGATGAGTTTTGACATATGTATACACTCGTGAACCACCACCACAATTAAGTTAGTGAACACATTTATCACTACCAAAATTCTCCTTGTGCCCCTTCGTAATCCATCCAGCTTTCTGTCGTTAAGTTAGTTTGCATTTTCTAGAATTCTATATAAACAGAATCGTACACTATGTCCTTTTCTTTTTTTAGCTTCTTTCATTCAGCATGGTTATTTTGAGATTCATCCATGTTGTTTCTTGTATCAGTAGTCCCTTCCTTTTCACTCCTGAGTAGTATTCCACTATATAAACAAACCCTAATGTATCCCTTCACCTGTTGATAGACATGTGGGTTCTTTCTAGGTTTGGGCTATTACAAATAAAGCTGCTATGAACATTCCTGTACAAGTCTTTGTATGGACATATGCTTTTATTTCTCTCAAGTAAATACCTAGGAATGGAATGGCTGAATCACAAGGTATGGGACACACTTAACTTGTTAAGACACTACTAAACTGTTTTTCAAAGTGGCTCCAGTGCTCCACCAGCAGTGTATGAGAATTCCAGTTGTTCTACCTCCTCACCAACAATTGATACGGTCAGTCTTTTTAAATTGCAGCCATTCTAGTGGGTATACAGTACTATCTTTTGGTGACTTTAATTTGCATTTCTATAGTGATTAATGATGTCAAGCATCTTTTCATGTGCTTATTTCACACCTGTATATTGGCTTTGGTGAACTGTCTATTCAGATCTTTTGCTCATTTTCTATTGGATATCTGTGTTATTGAGTTTTTAGAGTTCTTGCTCTTTCACTTTTTTCACTTAATGTGTATGTAGTACGATCCTTTTAAAAAAACTAATTAAAAATTTAAGAATCCAACCCATATATGTACATTTAGACAGTCTGATAGTCCATGCACGAAAACTATTAACAATTATTAAGAATAATTATCTGGGGCAGAAGCAGTGTGGTTACTCATGTTATGTATTTCTATATTTCTTCTCAACATCATATAAAATGTGATAAAGTTATTTGTCTTGGGGTGAGGGAAAGTTAGGAAAAAAGCACACAAGTAGAAAGCCAAATATTCACCAGAATCAACCAAATGAAGAAAGAAGTAAAGCCTCAAATCATAAAATGTAAAAAATTATGGCTAAGAAATCAGAAGAAAGATTTACCTCAGCCAAACTCCTTCCAATGCAGATATGTGCAGGCTAAGTGAGTGAGTAGGTAGTCCTGTGATAAGTCAAGGAAAATAAAGTACTCAAGTAGCTCCAGGTAGCCCTGCGGGACCCCAGCAGAGGCAGGTAAGACTGATGCAGTACGCCATCTTTCGAGGCACTAGTATGAGCTAGAGGACACATCTAGAGCTGGTTTGAGTGAGCCGAGCCACTTAAGAGAATTTCAGGACACCAAAAGCCAGTTTGCCTTTTGCCCCTCCCCAAGGGTTACAAAAAAGAAGCATACAGAAAGCAATATTCTATCCTTAAACTAAAGTGTAGTTGGGTGTAGGGAATAGATAAGTTGTTTCAAGTTGAGGTGAGAAGCCTGTCAAGAAGAATTTACACACACTATATCAGAGCAAACAAAAGATATAGGCAGAACTCTCTTTGTTAAGCACGAATAAAATGAAAAGAAATGGTCTGACAGATATATAAATGTGCCATAGGGTGGGGGGAGATAGAAACAATTTGCAAGGTGAACGAAGATCCCATTCTGGAGAAGAATATAACCCTAGGAAAATAAGTAGCTTTCTTCTGAGTCTTTTACAGGTATTTGGGTAAGAATATTGATGTGATAAAGCGTAAGAGCTCAAATACAAGATGATAAAGTAATTAAAGGAAAAGAAAGACTGAGAGCAAAGAACAAATTAAAACCTAAACAAGATAATCCACTCAAATAAGTAAATTAGAGCAAAAAGGAAGGCAGGGAGGGAAGAAGGGAAGGACAGGAAGAAAGAAAATGGATGAAAATCAAAGTAACAGCAATGAGGAAAGGGTTGGGCTAATCATGGTTAATTGTTTTCATCTTTTCCTTTTTCTTTTGCATTTAAAAGAAAAGGACAGAAATGGAGAATAAAGAAATACAATGTCCCTGGTGTGGAAAACTTAACTAATGAAAAAAGAGATCAGAGTATATGGTACAGAAAAATGTTTCCAGTAATGAAGAAAGAACCCATCAAGGATACACTGCATATTGGGGAAAAATGATACACCACTAAGATATGTCCTTGCTAAGTTACTCAACTTCAAACTTCAACAGGAATTTGCCAGGCATCTAAACACACACACACACACACACACACACACACACACACACACACACACACCCCCCAAATTACCTATAAGGGAAAAAAACAAGTGGCTAGCTGGCCTTAGACTTCTTCACAGTTATATTCAGTGGCAGAAGACAAGCTAATGTCTACAGCATTCTAAGGGAAAGAAAGTGTGACCCAAGAATATGATATCCAGCCAAGATATCACTCAAGTATAAAGGCACTAGGCAGACATTCTAACATAAATGAAATAAAAATAGCACCCACAAGCTCTTCTTGAAGGAACTTCTCAATAGTAAAATCCAGACAATTAAGAAATATATTGAAGTAAAGAATTCAGAAATATAGAGAAGCCCTGGTACAACACCTGATTACAAGCATACAATCCTTTTAAATACGAACTTAAAACTAAAGACACGGGTAAAACAAGCAGATGATATATGATAGCATAACCAAATGTAAATGCCACTAGTCCTGACAAAGTAAAAATAATTCGAGTAATAAAAAATTGGGAGTAGGGGAAAGAGTTGGGACGAAGTGCAAGAAATCTAATCTCCTCTTTCATAGCAGAGTGTCCACTGATAATGTTTAATATCGAAACAGGTAGATTTTAAAAAATGACTAAAGGATTGTTTGACCTAGCAACTGCACTCCTATGTATCTACATAAGAGAAATGAAAACATATGTCCAAACAAAAAATTCGTAATTAATGTTCATAGCAGCATTGCTCATAAGAGCCCAAAAGCGGAAATAACCCAGATGTCTACCAACAGATGAATGGATAAACAAATGTGGTATCTACATATAATGGACATATTATGTGACAGTAAAAAGAAATGAAGTACTGATACATGCTACCACATGGATGAACCTTAAAAACATTATGTTAAGTGAGAGAAGGCAGTCACAAAGGACCATCTATTGTATGATTTCATTTAATTGAACTGTCCAGAATAGGCAAATACATAGAAATTGAAAGTACAGGGTTTCTTTTCAAGGTGATGAAAAGTTCTAAAATCTATTGAGGTAACAGTTGGACAATTCTGAGGCTATACTAAAAATCACTGTACTGTACACCATAAATGGGTGAATTGTATAATATGTGAAATTATATATCAAAAAGGTTGTTAACAAAAAGACATTAGAAAAAAAATGACTAACTGCTCAATGTTTTCATAATATTTTTTCTTAAACTTAAGGGGTTGCTAATGACTAATATAATTTATGGTAAAGAAACATTTGTCTGAAGATTAGCAATTCTTTAACTTTCGGTGTTTTATTTTGTTAAGTTCAAGTAAAATTAAATAGAGTACTTTTAATTTACTATTATCCTATATTACAAAGTGTTTTTCAATCTATCCATTTACCCATCTCTCTATCTCTCTATATATACAAATTATATCTGAAATAATTTTCATATAATGTGACTACTGGGGTAGTAGGAATTTGGGTGATTTGTTGCCTTCTTTACTGTTTCCTATGCTGGCTCAAATTTTAATAATGAGTATGTGTTACTTATATTTGTCTTCAAATTGCCCTTATAAAGTAAATATGCCAAAATGTTAATGTTACATGTGGGTAGTAGCATTATGAATATTTTTTCCTTCCTTGTTAATTCTTTTCTGTACCTTCCAAATTTTCCCATAATGAACATCTATTATTTTATAAACAGAAGAATGTAAAACATAATAGAATTAAAGGGATGTGTAGTATTCCTTTAAATGATTGCTTGGTTCTTACCTGGACACCTTCTGTTGTTCCTGAATGATCTTTCTTCCTGGCCAGACATCACCCATCTGTGACTGATGAAGGAGAGACTGTCCCACTGTCTCTCTTTTATTCACTTCAAGACAAACAAAAGCATGGCAGAGTGGTGGTGATGAGGAGGGAAGTGGAAACACAACACCTTTGCAAAAAACACAACCCATCTATATATAGATGGCAATATAATCTATAATTTCCCACCAACAGGCTGAGCCCATGGAGGTAAGATATCACCAGTAAGAGTACACGAGGGTTCCACGCCAGAGGTTTTATCACTGAGGTCAAACACTTCAAAGAATCACCTCCAGAAAGGTCCAGTACCTGCAGGTTTCCGGCGCAGGGACATCCTGATTATCTCACTGCCTGTGCGGTAAGCGAAACGATTCACTTTCTGGTCATAAAACCAGTCTCCAGTTGCCTTCTTCAGCTCTCTGGGAAGGAATAAAAGAAAATGGCAGATGGATCAAGAATGGCCCTTGTCATTCAACCAGTGAAGGCTCAGGGGAGAAATTCTCACCACAGCCAGGGCCTCATTTCCTGTCTCTACTCAGCCATAGGTGACACTCACATCTCCTTGGCGCACACCTTGCACCTCCAGGTACCATTGCTTTCCTGGATACGGCAGTCCCAGCACACCAGGTGATTACAACCCCGACAAGTGTTGGTCTTAGGAGTCAAACGGCCCATGTTCTCCTGGCACCGGGCACAGGTCCAATCACTATAGTGTTGGCTGCCCCTCTTGGCTCCTTTCCTTTTTATCTCCAGTAACTCATTCTTCAATCGCCTGCCAAGATGCAAAAGAGAAGTATAAGTGGATTCAGTTTCTGCATAGGTTAGGTGAAGAGGAGTTGTGAGGTAGAGAGCGTAATAATAATCAGCTCTGTGAAAGCAACAACCTCAGAGCCCAACCTGACCCAATGAGGAGTTGTAAACCTCATACACAAGTTCCTTTGAAACTCAGATGAGACATACAAGGAAAAGTCCGGATATCATTGGTCATAGGCCTGGGAACCCATGCTTTTTCTGGGACTCTTACCTAATCCTTTTCTCATCTGCTTTCTGGAGCTCCTCATCTCTGTGTAGAACACTAAGGATCAAATCCCTTTCCACGTCAGACAGAAAAGAAAGGTCAAGGATCTCCGACATGACTTATTCTAATTTTTCTTCCACTCTTCTTTTCTTGAAGAGACCAGACCAGGAGAGCTACCAGAGTTGCCTGAAATAAGATAAGCACTAATTTCACACAGATAATTTACTCCAGTATAGGCCCACAGCCCTAGAGCCTTTCAGTAGGCTACTTTCCCCTTGGGCCAAGCTAAAGAGACAACGTAGAAATATCTGACCTATTTACCATTCCTACTCTGATCTGAATCCTACCCTGAAAATGCAGATGCTTTGATTTTTCAAGAAGAAAAACTTATTCATGACTCTGGGAAAGGGTTGGGTCGTTCAGGATAAGCATCTGGATTGGGAAAGAGCACAGAACAGCTGAGTCAAATTCCCCCTCTACCAAGCAGATCCTCAACCATCCAATTTTCAATACATTACATGTTCTCAAGTCCCAAGTCTATTAAGGCAAATAATAAGACAGCTGGTCTCTGTAGTAGAGGAGAAAACCACACAGGGACTCTTGCCTGTTGAAGCCCATTTTTTCTTTTCAGACCAGCTTCCATGTTCCCAGGATTCAGTCAGCTTTCTGCTACACTGCAAAACGTCCATGACCCATTCGATCTCCCAAATTTCTTATTGCTAACACTACAGCAAGAAGATTTTCACCCATTTCATGCATATTTGTTGAGCACGCCCTCTGACAGGCATTGTGCAAAGTGCTGGGGATACAAAGATGAGTGAAACAGTTCCTGTCCTTATGACTTTCACAGAGTAGTAGGGGAGACAGATACACATAAATACAGTACAATGTACTAAGTGTTATCAGAGGTATAATAAATCAAGTGCTATAGAACTTAGAGAATGTAGTAACTGATTTTATCTTGCATAGACAGGGAAGAAAGAGAGCTGTATACATGGAAGGTTTCACAGAAGAGGTAGATTTTGCCTTATAGAACAAAGTATATGTCTGTTGGTTGGGGAGAATGGTAGGAAAGAGAGGCTTACTAACTATGCCTCCGTCACCCTCTGGTTCCTCATTTCCAAAATGGCCTACGAGGTGTGATCAAACAATATAGTGAATATTTAAATAAAAAAATGTTACAGTAAAAGACACATTACCATTAATCCCCCTCAGAATAATCCCCCTCACTTCCCACACACTTTTCCATCGTTCTTGCCACTTTCTGAAGCAGTTCTGGAAGTCCTCTTTTGTGAGTGTCTTTAGTTGTGCCGTCATGGCTGCCTCTACGTCCTGAATGGATTCAAAACATTTTCCTTTCATGGTCATTCTGACTTTGGGGAAGAGCCAGAAGTCACGAGGTACCAGATCCGGTGAATATGGTGGATGAGGACACACTGTAATGGTTTTATTTGACAGAAATTGCCATACCAGAAGCAATGTGTGACACGAAGTCCTTTCACTGTGATCACAAAATATGGTGAATGCTGCTGCCAAGTGCCATCCAACGGAAAGGTAGGGATCTTTAGTATTGGAAATGATGCGTTGAACCTTAGTAACAGTGTGTGACAAGTTTCAACTTGTTCGGTGCAGTCAGCCCGGTGTGAGCTACGGTTGAGAGATGGTGTGTTTTAAAGTGTACCCTAAGTCATCTTCCATAATGACAATGCTCTGTGTCACACATCAATTCTGGTACGGCAATTTCCGTCAAATAAAAACTTGATGGTTTGTCCTCATCCACCTTATTCACTGGGTCTGACACCATGCGACTTCTGGCTCTTCCCCAAAGTCAAAATGACCATGAAAGGTAAATGTTTTGACTAAATTCAGGACATCGAGGCAGCCACAACAATGTAATTAAAGACTCTCACAAAAGAGGACTTCCAGAACTGCTTCAGTAAGTGGTGAGAATGATGGGATAAGTGTGTTTGAAGCGAGGAGGAGTATTTTGAGGGGAATTAATGGCAATGTGTCTTTTACTGTAATCATTTTTTTATTTAATCATTCACTGTATTGTTTGATCATACCTCATACCTCACAAAGTTGTGAAGAAAATTAAATAATTCGTGTTAACGGACCAATCATAATGTTTGGAACACATGTTTGGAATACATGTATTCACTGAATCTGCTACAGGGCAAGCCCAAAGCAGGGCAGCAAGATGAAAGAACAGGGAATACATGTGAGAAGCAGAACTAGCAGAATGGAATGATTGATTGAGGCAGAGGATGAAGAAGGTGAAGTCAAAGATGCCTACCTCGCATGTCTAGGTCAAACAACTGACTGGCTAGTGACAGCCTTGACAGAGATAGGGGCTATAAGAGAAGAAATGGGATTAGAAGGCAAGACGTTTTGTTTTAGTCATGTTGAGTTTCTGCTGCATACAAAAACATATCCAGGTAATTAGGCCCAGGAAGTAGTTGGAGGGACAGGGCTGGACCTCCAGAAGAGAGACTATATCTGAAAATATAGATTTAGTTATCATGGGAGTCAAAGAGCCCAGGAGAGAGTGAGCAAGGAAATGGGGTTCATACTTACCTTCTCTGCTCTCCCTAGAAACTAGACAACAAGCCTTTTTCACTTGTCTCCTCTCCCCCATCACTTGCAAATCTGACTCCATTCAGAAAAGTCACATCCCACCCCAGCCCTACCTCTAACCACGGGTTCCTGTGATTTCCAGCACTAACCCTGTTATTAGAAATTTCACTTGAGATGGGATCTTGCAGAATCAGTAGCGGGGAGAAGAAAACAGAATAAGAAAAAAAAAAACTTAAAAGCAAGCAGAAAAAGGAAAGCACAGGAAAAAATGAGACAAATAGAAAGCAAAAATAAAAAAAGATGGTAAAAGCAAGTTCCAATATATCAATAAACATAAAAAGTATATATCAGCAAAACTCACCCTTTAAAATACAGAGATTAACAAACTGAATAAAAATAAAAAATTCAGCTATGTGCTATTTTATAAGGGACACACCTAAGACATAAGGACAAGGAAAGACTGAAAGTAAAAAAGATGGGAAAAGATATACCAACTAAATGCTAACCAAAAGAAAACTGATGTAGCTATCTTAATATCTGAAAAGTAAAACTTCAAGACAAAAACATTATAAAGGATAAAGATTACTGCAGAGTAAATAAACTTATATGTATTAATAAAACACCGCCAAATATATAAAGGAAGACTAAGTACGACTAGAGAGAAAAGTTAAAAAATGAACCATCAAAATGGGATATTAGCATACCACCTTAACGACAGGGATACATTCTGAGAAATGCTTCTTTAGGTGATTTCGTCATTGTTAGAACATCATAGAGTGCGCTTACACAAACATACATGGTAGAGCCTACTACACACCTAGGTGATATGAAATACCACTGTTCGATATGCAGTCTGTGATTGACTGAAAAATTATGTGGTGCATGACGGTATTGCAAGTATGAGCAGATAGAAAATTTGTAAGTTTATGGACAAGTCAAACAACAAAATACATAAGCTTGATTTAATGGACATACCGTATTTGCCGGCGTATAAGTCAACTGGGCGTATAAGACGACCCCCTAACATTTCCACTCAAAATACAGAGTTTGTTATATACTCGCCGTATAAGACTACCCCCTCTTCCGCACACCTTCCACACACCAAATAAAAGGTAAAACAATATCAGATTTGATTTCAACATTTATATTTATATTCAAATGCTTATGACATGCAGGAAAACTGTCACAAGGCTGTATGTAATCAAACATATACATAAATCGCGATTCGCGATTTTGCGCTATCATACTGGGTGTTTGGTCGGCTGTGTGCGATTTTGCGAGTGTGGTAAAATCGCATAACAGCAAAATCGCATAACAGCCGAGCATACACCCAGCAGCGCTGCTGATGCCTGAACGGTATGTGGAATGAAGTGGGCGGGCATCGGGAGGCCACTATGGCACGGGGCAAGCACTATGGGCAGTCTATCTGAAGTGTACCTGGCGTATAAGACGACCCCCCACTTGGAGGCATATTTTTCAGGGCCAAAAAATCGTCTTATATGCCGGCAAATACGGTATGTAGAATTCTATATCCAGTTGGAGAATCACATTCTTTTCAAGCACATATGGAACATTTATGCCCCTAAATGACCATTGTACTAGGTTATAATGCAAGTCTCAGTAATTTCAAAGAAATCATTCTCATACAAACCATGGTCTCTGACCTCAAGGAAATTAAATGAAGTCAATAACAAAAGATATTTTTTAATCCCAATATTTTCTGGAAATTTAAAGACACTTATTAATAACTCATAGGTCAAAGAACATATCATAATAATACTAAATTTATCATTAACATCTTAAAGAAGAAACCTGCTGCCTACCTCACCACCCCCTTACCATAGGATAGAATATTTTCTAGAAACTCAAAAAGGAAAATATGGAAAAAAACAAATGCTTTTGTATGCAGTGAGTTATGTGATATGTTTTTCATGGTAAATGTTACATCACATTTTGAAAAATATAACTCAGAAAAATGATGGAAGCACAGATAAGAAATCCAAACAGATTTGAAGTTAGAAAACTTGTGACCTTTCATATTCACTCAATTGATGGACAGTAGGGTTCAGTGGAGAAATCAATGCCCAAGAATATTTGTTAAGGCCCTTCACTGAAATTCAATCACAGGTGTGCGATCAAAAGACCAAGGATTATCTACTGGGAAAACTACAGCTCAGATTATATGGGTGTCCAAACCTGAGCTCTGATAGGCAATTTGTTCCATGTTAGTCATGAGGTGTCCAATACTCAGATGAAATATCTTAACACAGCATCCTTGTGGGATGTCATGCCAACAAGAAGATGTTTTGGAAAAGATGGTTTGTTTAGTTACAAAATTATATTTTTTTTCTCAAAATTCAGGATAATATTTTAATGCAAGTACTTACAAAAGGGGGAACTGAAAAATGTACTATCAAAATGGGAGGTTAACATAGCCTTCTTAATTACTGATCGTACAAGCAGATAAAAAAATTAGTAAATGTATGGACAAGTTGAACACAATAAGCTTGATATAATGAACATATGTAGAATTATATATCCAAATTGATATATCCTATTTACATCTTAATCCTATAGATTAGGAGATTATAATAATAAATGAGCATTAA